GTCATAACACTTAGCCAAAATTTCAGACTGTGCAAGTGAGTTGACTTAGCTTTTTGGACAAACAAATCTAACTTGGAATAGAAGCAATTCAAGCTCATATCGCGACCATTGTAAGTTCATCAGTGTTAGTAGCCAAACTGGTCAATTTATGATTGTAAGTTTCAAACTAGTAATCCTAATTTTGTTTGTGCTAAACTTAAGTACCGAACACATCCAAACTGTTAAGTACTTAAGTTCGAAACTGTAATATGCTAAATGCTCATCTATAATCTGCTGAATGTTGTTGAATGCTAATTACCAATCTGTTGAATGTTAATCTCTAATCTGGAAAAGGGTAATATGTAATATGCTTGTCTGTTGTAATGCTACTCGAAACTGTTCAATGCTAACCTGCTAATCTATTTTAATTAAGTTCCAATCCAATAAACTCAAATCCAGTAAACTTCTAATATGTAATCCTAAACTACTCTAATCAAGTAAACTTCTCAATGATGTAATCTGCTAATCTGTTTAGTATTGAAGTTTACTGTTGAGCAGATTACATATTAGAAGTTTACTGGATTTATGTTGACTGTTGTAAGCTGCTAATCTGAATTAAATTAAGAGAACACAACTGGGATGTGGACACCTTTCTAAAACATTTTTCTATTTCTTCCTCTTAAATAGATGGAACCCCAACACGTTGAGAATGCACTTGATAATGATGATGTTTCCCCTCCTCCTAGTAATCCTAATAATGCTGAGGAAGATGTTCTTCCTCAACATCCCTTAGGTGCTAGTACGTCATTAAATCTTATGTCTGGCCTCACTTCACTAGGATGATGGTTTCTGTGGTATTGAAAGCTAATGCAACTACTGTTAGAAGGTGTTGGCTGGGATATCTAGTAATGGTACTTCACATCTTAGGACTCACAGGAACAAATGTGTTCATAAAAAAAAAATTCACGATGGGAGTCAAAGAGTTCTTGGTGCTGACTATAGTGCAATGGAACAGCTAATATGAATACCAATCAGTTTAATAGTGAGGTGTCTAGAAAGGAGCTCTGCCCCATGATTTTGGGTGCATGAGTATCCTCTTTCTATTGTTGAGCACCTTTACTTCAAACGGTTTTGTTGCACCTTGAACCCTCTCTTCAAAGTCCAAACCAGAAATACCATAAAGAAGAACATAGTCACTATTTATGGTTTAGAGAGGTCTAAGATTCAAAAGGTCATTGACAAAAACAAAGGGAGGATAGCTGCCACCACTGACATGTGGACTGCCACAAACCTAAAAAGGGCCTACATGGCTGTGACTGCCCACTATATCGACAACTTTTTGAAGCTGAGAAACCATCTTTTAATGTTTGGTTACCTCCCTGCCCCACACACTAGTGAGAGGTTGGCTATAAAGCTAGCTCAATGCCTCAAATCATGGAACATTGATAGTACATTGTCAACAATTACACTTGACAATTGTACTACCAATGATTCAATGATCAATCTAGTTAAAAAGGCTGTTTTTGTCTAATTTAATTAGGGATGAGACACTTTTTCATATGAGGTGCTCTGCTCACATCCTTAATTTGATTGTGAGGGATGATGGTCTTGATGTTCTAAAAGATGGAATAGAGCAAATCAGGGAGAGTGTGGTCTTTTGGACATGCACACCTAGGAGGGTGGAGTCTTTCCATGCAACTTCGCAACAACTTAAACTACCTGTTTCTGAGAAATTGGTCTTAGATTGTCCCACTCGGTGGAATTCCACTTACGAGATGCTTTCTAGTGCTATCCCATATAAGGAGGTGTTTTCTATATTGAAAATAAGGGAACCTCAATACGACTCTCTGCCTACCAATGAGCAGCGGGAGTTTGCTGTTGTTTTGGTTGACAAACTTGATGTTATCAAGGACATAACTTTGGTTTTTTCTGGTTCAAACTACCTAAGGGCGAATCAGTTTTTTCCTAAAGTTTGTGACTCGAGGTTATGATTGGTGGAATGGTTATGTGACCCTAATCCGATGATCGTTTCTATGGCTGAGAATATGTGGAATAAGTTTTCCAAACATTGGGATGATATTCATTTGTTGTTGGTCGTTGCTGTTGTGTTGGATCCACATTACAAATTCAAAATTGTTGAGTACTATGCTGGTAAATTTGGTATTACTAGTATCGATCTTATTTCTGAAAGGGTGAGATCTGTGCTTGCTGACTTGGTTGTTGAATACCAAAGGACATCCTCCAAAAACTCGCCGATTTTTTCTAGTTTTCATCCTTGTTCTTCGGCCACTGATATGGAGTTTGATCTATATGTGAGCCAAAGAAAGAAAACTAGAACATCTGTGGTTACTACCGAGTTAGATCACTATCTACTTGAGTATGTTCATCCTAGAACACTGGAATTTGATTTGTTGGGTTGGTGGAAATTCAATGGTGCCAAGTATCCCATTTTGCAAGAAATTGCAAGGGATTTACTTGGTGTACCTGTTACGAGTGTTGCATCTGAATCTACATTTAGTTCTGATGGGAGGCTTCTTGATCCCCATCGCAGCATAGTTGATCCTACAATAGTAGAAGTCATGATAATATTAAGGACCTGGATTCATGATAATAGCAAAGTTAATCTGCTTATTTAGTTCTTGCCATGGTTTCTATTTCATTATTTCATTCAAAGTCGACTAATTCTTGCATTCTTCGGTAGTGTCTGCCTCGGAAGTGAAAGTGATGGAGGGAGTGTTCTCGGCTATGGCAATGGATGATGTAAAGGTGGAAGAGAGCACAGGTAAGCCTCTTTGAATTCGTAATTGTTAATCAGGTTTGGGAAATTACTAAACTGGTTGTTTTGTAATAGATGGCTCTAGAGAACAAAGACAAAGGAATTGGGAGAACTCTCTAGTGTGTATTACTCTAAAAAATGATAAAATGATTTACAAGTGAGGGAGATGGCTCCTTATATAGGCCTCTCCTCATACAAGGCATCAATGCCCCTCATAATGTCCCTCTACATCAATACACCCCATTAAGTCCCCCCATTATGCACTCTATAAATGTCACCCATTATGTGACTCATAAGTGCACCATTAAGCTCTCTATTAAGGTGGAGAATCCTAGGAGCATCCATATGCTACTAGTCTTCCATACACGCCACATGTGCAGCCGCCATGTTGTCACCTTGTTGGTGCCATGTCATCTGCCACATGTGACATCCTCCCCCACCTATGCTCGCGACGCCCTCGTCGCGTCCTCTTGATGGAATGCCTCAATCAAGGCCTTGTTCTTCCAAAGCGTGAGCTCTTTCTCCCAAGTTGCTTCACTCTCTGGAAGGTTGCGCCACTTGACCAAGTACTCCACAAAGCTTGGATGTATGCCACGACGAGGAATGACACGACGCGCCATGATTTCTTCGACTTCTTCATCTCCTCTCAGAGATGAAGATGATCTTATAGTGAACCTTCTGGACTAGTTCTAGGTTTGTAATCGAACTTCTAACATTTCCCTACTAATGGCTTGCTACTTAGTTAAATTCTGAAAATATCTTGAAACTGTCTGATTGCATATTTTTGTCCATTAGCCATTAGTTGGTGAATTACAATTAATGGTGAATGACGCATTCTTGGTATGCTCATGGATTGTTGGTCTGCTGATGTAAGACCGATTGCTGCTGCTTAGTACTTTCTCTACTAGCTATAGGTTTGATTTTGTGTTGAACTACCACACATTCATTTGTGGTGTAGTTTCTGGATTTGTTACCTCTTAGTTCAGATTATTGGTTGCTGGGATTTTGTTACACTTTCTGGGTTCATGGGGCCTCAGTTCAGTTCTTACTTCTTAGTTAAACAATTATTCTTCGTTTATCTTTGTTCTATTTATGGATTTCACAAGCTCTGGGTTTGCAAGTTCATGGAACCAGGTTGAATGCTATAAATGTTTGTTTTCAGTTCATTTCCATTTCAGTTATTGCGTTGGATTTGATCTTTTGGAACTGTGGTTGTTTGATATTCTCGAGCATCTAGTGACCCGCGGGTTCACCCATACTCGCATGGGCTTGGGCCTAATTTTGTGCCCGTATAGCTCAGCGGGGCGGGTGCGGGTAATACCCACGAGCTTAAATGGCGGGCAGTGGATATATTTTTTCAAAATGACAAGCGTGTCTTTCCATGGAAAATTTGTAATTAGTTGTGGTCAACCCTTAAACACAAAGAAGTCATCAAAACGAAATGTTTTGATTGGTTGAAACTATTATAGTATGGTGCTAACAAAAAAAAGTGTTAGCACCATAGCCCCTCCCATCTTATATTAACAAACTATTTCAGTTATTTACTACTACATTATCACTAAAATTACATATATGTCACATTTTAAGTATATATTATTCCTTCAACATTTCTAATATTTTTTTCTCATAAAACAATGTTTTTTGCTATCATTTTCCTTCCCCAAAAACTTTTGTCTACTCTTCATTTTTCTTCCCCTCTTCGATAACTGATGATAAGAATGAAGAAACAAACTCATAACTAATAAGTCTCTTACCTCTACTTTACTTAAGACGCGTTTGTTAGAAAAAAGTCAAAAACTAAAAGTTGTCATTACGTAATCGTCAAAACCACACATTTCCTACCAATTCATACTTATAAATTCCTAATCATTCTACATTTTTTTCCTCGTTGCAATTAAGAATACTATTACTCTTGATAAACCTCCATCGACGTAGAAATCTTTTTCATGCTTCGGGAGCTAGTGAAGAAAAACAACAAAGCCCTAGTCTTCTGCTTGTGTCTTGATTGACTACTCGATTTAGGGCAACCAAAAAAAAAATATTTCTACCCAAAAAAAAGAAAAAAATAACAAAAAGGAGCATGTGAACATATTTTCACCGAATTCGACCTTAATCGACTTCGAGTTATCCAAGAACATCCCAACTAGCTTCTCATTCATAAAATCCACTACTCAGCAACAAAACCCCCATGGGTATCATGATGAACGAGAGCAACAAATCACCCAAATTTGCCCAACTATCAAAGATGGTCGTTATCATCACCACATTACTCCTGCCGTCTCTCGTTGTCCCCAAGGATCTGTGGCCCACCGTGAACGTGACATTTGAGAACGAGGTCCACCACGCGGTGGACCTCCTTTGCAGCTTTGAGTCCACGCCTCGGATTAGGACGTTGATGCCTGGCGATATGGCGTGGTGGACGGTGAAGGATGTGTTGTTTCCGGCCGTATGGTGCTACCTACAGGTAACTGATGACTTCTTCGGATTGTTCTGGGGGTACTTTGTCAGCAGGAAATGTGGCGATGGGAGCCACTGCCGGTGGAGGATTAAAGAAGATGGGTTGTATTATGTGCAGACAAATGGGGAATTGCAGTACCAATGGTTGTACTATGGTAGCGGCGGGTTCGTTTGAATTATTGGTCTCATAAGCGGGGCTACTGCTGCAATTTCATTTCAATTGTATTACTATGAGTCTAGATTTGTGATTATTAATTCAGTACTGTTCATATCTCTCTCGACACAATTTAGTTGTATTACTGATTGTTGGTTGATGTATGATATATGATATGTACCTATTTACAATATAAACACTTACAAATTGCCATGGATTAAATGAAAGTTATAAGGTATTTAATATTTAATGATTTATACCTATTTTTAAGTTATTGGCCTCGCGTGCCGAAGGTAACATAGCCGAGTTGGTCGGGAGTGTGGTCTTTCGGGTCTGAGATGTGTGAGGTCTTAGGTTCAAACCCCGGTACACCACTCGGTGTACCGGGAGGCACCTCGAGTGCTGGAGACTTTGTCTACCCCTAGTATCGGGTGCTAGGCTTTGAAAATGTTGCTGATGCAAGTACTCTCCAGGTTTAGTAGACCCCGCTGTCACGAAGAGACACTTGGAGTTGAGGTTCCTGGGTAATAAAAAAAAGTTATTGGCCTCGCGTGCCTCGTCTCTAGACCTGCAATTGCTAGGCTTGTTTAGATTTTATTAATGAAAATTAGATATAGTTAAGGTGGGATAGTCTCCTCAATACTTTAATAGAAGTTAAAATAAGCGAATGCTATATCAAACAAATATTGGAAAGCGTAGGGGCATGCTTCTTTGTATCATTCCAATTTTATTGGATGTCTCCGTATGCTATGATAAGCACAATTTGAGAGAGAAATGTAGTTTGCGGCATATTGGAACAAAGAAGAGCTGCTCTGTAATGATTGAGCAGATTAAAAATGAAGTTAACATGTTTTTTTAAAGTGAATGTAACTGCTGAATTTTGGCCTTGTTGATGTTTACTCTTGGTATTAGGGTAATACCTGTGATAGTGATCGAGGAATTATAGTTTACACGAGGTATAGTAGTATAAAAGCACACATGCTACTCAATTGGCAGGATGTCTTGCCAAAAGGTTCTTACTTTTTATGATTTTTTTTTATAGAAATCTCCTGGAATTTTATTAGTGGGTTAAAGCCTCATTTTTTTACAAGTCCAACAGAAATATGGGTGGTCTGTCAATTTTTTTACAAGTCCCGGATGCCGACACCTGTCTCCAGACCGAATTCAATTGTCCGAAGTTCTGCCAGTTCCAGCGGCCAGGGGTTATGCTCCATGCGCACTGCTGCCATGACGAAGTGCCCAGTTGAATCGCGACCCACCACCCCCAGCACTGTCCCTCCATCTTTCAGCACTGGCGCGTCAACATTAACCTTCACACAGCCCTTCGGTGGCCTCCTCCAGGTGCATGGTTCTTCCAATCTTTCATTGGTAGACTAGTGATGTTGGTCTGTGAACTCCTCCCATAAACTGATCGTCTTTGACACAATCTCCCAATCCTCCGTCTTTTTATTATTGAACATCTGATTATTCCTCTCATTCCACATCATCCAATGAATCATACACAGTTGAGCTTGGATATCATCATCAATTCTTTCCATGACTTTACACATCCAGCTCCCCATCGATAGTTCAGGCTCTAGTTCGAATAGGGGTCGAAACACAAAAGGTCGCCATACCTGTATCGACCATTAACAATCTCTAAAAATGTGGTTCTATGTTTCCTCCAGATGGCAAAAGGGGCACTCTGCTGGAACATCCATTTTCCTTCCCTCGATGTTCTTGCCAGTAAGAAGTATATTGTGAACAACTTTCGATAGGAAGATTTTAATCTTCAGAGGAATCTTTAGGCTCCAAAGCCTCTTCCAATTCATAGGATCATAGTGTTCAATCTCTCCCTCCACCTCCGGCAAGACCTCCTCCTGATTGACCTCCTCATGTGAGATGGCTAGGCCCCATGTAGCAAGCTTGTATGCAAATTTAACTGAGTAGACACCATTTTTCTCCTTGCTCGTCATCTGCAGGTTGTCTAGGGATAGGAATCCCTGTAATTCGCTTCCCGTCCTCCAGATTTAGGTAATGTTGGAGGAGATTACTCTTCCAAGTTCTGCTTTCATGGTCAATTAGATTGTAGACCTTCTCTATTTCCCCTTTTTCCAGAGGAGGTGTTGAAACTCTAAAGTATGTACCCTTCCCTCCTGCTATCCATCATCGATCACCCCAGATTTTAACTTGAGCGAGCCATCCTCCATCTCAAATCACATTGCACAAGTTGATGTGCTGCCATAATGCTCCTCCATGTGTAACTCGGATTATTTCCCACTTGAGCTTGTAGAATGTTAGAGTTAGGGTAGTATTTAGCCTTGAGCATTCTAGCAACCAGAGATTATGGATTGGTGAAGAGATTCCATACTTGTTTCCCCAGTAAAGCTAGATTAAAAGCTTTCATGTCTCTAAAACCCATGCCTCCTTCCTCCTTTGGCTTACACACCTTCTTCAAAGCCTTCCAAGGAATTCTACGCTCCTCCTTCTGTTGGCGCCACCAGAAGCTGGAAATTTCCTTTCTTATTTCATTTAGGACTCCAGTTTGAACCATAAACACTAACATAGTGTATGTAGCTTGAAATTGAGCTAGTACTTTAATAAGGACCTCTCTTGCTGCCACTGATAAAGTTTTCCCTTTCTAGTGTTTAATTTTCTTCATTATATTGTCTATAAAGACATCAAACACAACTCTTTTTTCTCTGCCAATCATAGTAGGTAGACCCAGGTACTTGCTATGGTTCTTCACTTACCTCATTCCTAAACTGTTTGCCAAGAGTAAACGCTTCTTTTCCATCACACTAGTGCTAAAGCTGGTTTCATATTTCTGTACATTCACCACTTGGCTAGAATCTTCCTCATAGAATTTTATGATTTCTTTTAAGTGTTGGCACTCCTGAGGGGTAGCCCTCAGGAAGAAAATGCTATCATCTGCAAAAAACAAATGCGAAATAGAGGGTCCTCTCACAAATGCTTTTAAACCATGTAGCTTTCCTTCATTAACTGCCTTGCCAATTAGAGCTGATAGACCCTCTACACATAAGAAAGAGATAAGGAGATATGGGCTCTCCTTGTCTCAAACCTCTTTCAGGGGTGAAAGTCTCTGATTGATGGCCATTGACTAACACTGAATATGAGACTGTAGAGGTCATCAAATTCAAGTCCAATTCATCACACGAAGGTCCAATTACTCGTTTACAAGCCAAGAGATTAAGAGAGAAATTTGTTGCTTATTTGGATCGACATAATGCTCAATTGGACGTGGACCAACATCATGGGAAGTCCTTTATATTTCTACAATTCGTGGACCAGCATGGAGGCAACTTGGGCATCAAGGAAGGAGAGGATTCGGCTAAGGAGGAGAATAAGAGCTCAAGGTGTGAAAAGGATCAAGGTGGGAAGGAATCAAAGAAGGGAAGGCGGATATGAAGGCTAGAATTTAGAGAGTTGTTGACTTGGTCTTTTCCTTGTCTTTTAAGGAGTGTGTTTTCCTTTTACATGTAGGATTTGTTTTTCATTTTAAGCTTTAGATTTGTGTTAGCTTGTCTATAAATAAGAGGCTGAGTTCCTCATTGTAATTCATTATATTATCAATCAACTTTCAAGTTTCAAGTTCATACGAACTGGTTCTTTGTGCAAGCTTATGTCGAGAGTGCTCCAGAGGTTTCACGTGTCTCTTATCAACTAGAGAGCGCGTCTAGTTGTGGCGAGCTTCTACCCAATAGCGTTTGGCCTAAGTCATGAGTGGGTGATTGTTTGATTGGTTTCATATACCAATTGGCCTTTCAGACGAGTTGGAATCTGTTTGATCGGGTTCCATCTTTATCGTTTGCTCGAGTTTGGTTCAAGTTAGAGAAAAGCTTCAAAAATCCATAAAAAGGAGGAAACCTGCATGCTTTGGTCACATCAAGTGGTATCAAGAGCCCGGTTCAAACGCGCAATGCAGTCAAAATTGGGATTTTTATCGTAAAATTGTAGGATTTTAGAATTTTACTTAGGTATTCCGATCCTGATTTTACTATAAAATCGGTGGACCTTAAAATCGTTCAAAATCGGGATTAAAATCGTAAAATCGTACCAAAATCGGGATTTTGATCCTATGTGAACAAAATAGGGAGCTTGAGCCAATTCAAAAGAAGCAGAACTGTTTCGGTGGAAAGGGCAATGACGGGAATCTTCTCATATATTTTTCCTATTAAAAGACCATTTGAAAAGAAGAAAAAGAACTAATTAGGGTTCGGTCAACCCTTTCCCTTCTCCTTGTTTAACTCACCGGTAAAACAATTATCAGAATATTGTAAGTGTGTAAGAATTAACATCATTATTAATAAATTATTTGATTAATGAATATATTTGTACCAAACCAATGACATTAATTATTTTATTGGATTTCAGTTATTCTTAGTTTTAAATCATGCTTAGTAGACGATGTCGGGATACTACCTCGAGTTAAACTACCTAGACACAACATGAAAAACATGAGCCAAACCCCATGAGCTCTATCCCTTCCTCATAAATTATTTTGAGTTACGCTTTAAATAACAATTAAAATGATGATTTTGGAACATTAATCTTGAAAATTATCACTTTAAAGGTTATAAGTCTTTGTATTATTAATTATTTACCTTATTAATATTATTATATGTTAATTTCTATATGGTACTTAAAATCCTACGATTCTACGATTCGATTTTACGATTCCGATTTTACCCCAATTTTCGATTTTAGGTAAAATCCCGATTTTAACTGCTTTGCAAACGCGGAGGAGAAGAAGAAGGTTCTTGGAAATCTTGACGTGTTCTTGAAGCAATCTTGGTGAATTCTTCTTAGCTTTGAGCGCAAGAAACACTACCTTGTGCCGCAAGAATGGATGATCCAATGAAGGCGATGATGGATCAATTGGCAAAAATTCATCGAACCCTAGCAGCCAACGCCGCTGACATTAATGCACGATTCACCACAGTCGAAGCAAGGCTAGCCGCGCCTCAAGCTCCTGCGCAAGAGGTACAACCAAATCCTAATGCCGAGAGGGGCAGGGGAGA